ATATTGAGTTTAAATTATTTCAGAGTGTCATTTGTTGTAGTAGAACTAGAAAGATTGTGAACTCCAGTTTCCAGCAGGCCTGGGGTCAAATACTGCCTCTGTCATTTAATAGATCTGTGACCTTAGACAAATGATTTAGCTTTTCAGAACCATAATTTCCTCCTTTACAACAATAATGATAATGTATCTCATCAAGTATGAGTGAGGAGCCCTGGGGGCATAATGATCATACTTGGGGCTGCTAACAGAAGGTGGGAACCACCAGCCACTCCTCAGGAGAAAGACGAGGCTTTCTGCTCCTGGAAAGAGTCCCAGTCTTGGAAACCCACAGGAGCAGTTCTACCCTGTCCTGTAGGGTAGCTATGGGTCAGAATTGATTCGATGGCAGTGAGTTTGAGTTTCGAATCAGATTATCAAGTAAAACATGGTGACGTTTATCATAACTCCTTTCCAAAATTATAATAAAATGGAAGAAATACTTTTTTTAAACTCAAAGAAGTGGGAGGGAAATACTAAGGAAGATAGAATTATTGCTGTGAATTCTATGTAGTCATAATATAAGCAGTGAGTACTGATTTAACAAAAAACTTGTAACACAACTATATTGAGAAGGATGAGGGGAGAGTGGAAATAATATTGTCCAAAAACTATAGGAAACGACTAAATCCATAAACCCGCTGCCGTCAGGTTCATTCCGACTAAGAAACCTTGTCAGAGGTTTCCAAGGCTGTAACTTCCCCCCAAAAGTTTTATTGGCATATAGTTCACTTACCATACAATTCAATAGTTCAGTCATATCAAGAACAGTTGTACAGTCATCACAGTCAGTTTTAGAACATTTTCTTCATTATTGTACCTACCATTATTAGCTCCCCATTTATCCCTAACCTCCCCTGCCATTGCCCCAAGGAGCCATTAATCCAGTTACTGTCTCTACAGATTTCCCTATCCTGGATTTCATATATAGAAAAACATTAAAAGAAAGAAAGAAAAAAACACCCCAATGCTAATAACAGTAACAAAATAAAACAGATAGAAACCTCAATCCCAAGGCTTTAAATCTTTTCAGGGGTAGCCCCGTCGTTCCCTGGGAAGGGCTGATGGGTTTGAATTGCCAACCTTGTAGTAACAACAGTCCAGTGCTTACCTGACAGTGCCACCAGGGCTCCTTTTATAATGGAAGACAGACGGTAAAGGCTAATACTGGGGAAGGTGGGGGGCAAGAAATAGAAATATAATGAGTATCATTTAGAAATATGAAAGCAAATAACCTGGGGATGTGGGGGACAGGTCCACTAGGTAAACATCATCGCCTCTGGATTGCAGGGTAGAGGATTGCTGCAGCTGCTGGTTTGGGTTATAAACCTAGCAGTATATTTGAATTTGAAGATACATTTATTTAGTAGATTACTTTGATTAAAAGAAAAATTTTCTTAATGAGTTGAAAAAAATCTACCCCCAAGTTTTGTAGTAGGTATTACATGAAGATGAGTACTAGGCAGGATACAGTATCTGGCATGGAAGGCATTCACTTCCCTTGGTTACCAGACAGGGTAGGGGCCTGCACTAACATTCAGATGACTCAGGTTAGGTGGTTGGCTAGACAGCAATGTGAGATATGTCATAAAGCAAACTGTGTGCCCATCTTATTTTTTTGTAGGTTGGTTTTATTTTTCTTGGAACCATATCAACCTGATGGTCACTGTTTCTTAGAACTTCTACTTTTTTGTGCAACCGACATATGCAGTTGGTGAGGAGATCTAGTTAGCTATGTGTAGAACACATTTTAAATACTTGTTAGCAGCTTAGAACTTAGCCCAGTAACAGGAAAGCAATACTACCTATGCCTAGCTTACAAATTATTGAGTGCCAGGCCTCATTGCTCTCCTGTAATGATGTCCGTTAACAGCTTTGCTAATCCAGTCCACTGTGTGTGGCCCACTACCCCTTTGTTCTGTGGGAGTGGCTGTGATTAATACTAGAAAGAAAGTCAGACAGTGTAGAGTCATTGCATAAGTCTTGTGCAGGACTCATGTTGTATAACTGAACTACAAGTTCCTTGTAGACAGAGAACATGTATTCTGCCACATCAGTATCTAGGCTAGTAGCTGCTATGTGTCGATACATACTCATTTATTTATCATATAGTTACTGAAAGCCTACTATGTGTTGAGCACTGTATTGCTAGGCCCTGGGGCATCATGAACTGGACAGATGAGATTCTTCTAGTATAAAATTTGTACTCTAATAGAAAGTGTTTTTTGAATTCATGGAACACAGTAAAATAATGGCCCGTGTTGAGTTGTTGTTAGCAGTACCAAGTATTTTCTGTAAGAAGTTTAATAATTTTAAGCTATATCTGCAGTATGACTTAAGTGCATTCTATAAGAAGGAAATAGTGATATCTTATTTATTTTCTCTCTCTCTTTGCTTTTTTCTTTGTAGATAAGATGCTCCAAGCCACTTGCAGTTCTCTTCAGAAGAAAAATCACTAATACTCTGCTCTTACCATAATACCAAATCTTTGTGACTTACACTTTTGGTGCTGCAACACTGGAAGAATTGCACACAGGTTCCAGGAATACCGGTTTTCATTTGAATGATTATCTACGGATGGAAAAAGAGTTGAGGCTTAATCATTACTCTATTTTAAAGCTGTTTCTCAGTAGTCTGAACTGCTTAATAAATTGGGCCACTTAACCAATGAGCCACGTGGCCAGTTCTTGTCAAGAGCTGGTAGAAAATTGCACTGTTCATGTAGCAGGGATGGCACAAGAAGATAGCCGTCGCAGTCAAGTGCCATCTACCTTTTATCATGGTGCCAACCAAGAGCTCGACCTGTCCACCAAAGTGTACAAAAGGGAATCAGGAAGTCCTTATTCTGTGCTAGTGGACACCAAGATGAGCAAGCCACATCTTCACGAAGCAGAAGAACAGCCTTATTTCAGAGAGACAAGATCGGTGTCTGATGTGCATGCAGTTAAAGAAGACCAGGAGAATTCTGATGACACAGAAGAAGAGGAGGAAGAAGAGGAGGAGGAGGAAGAGGAAGAGGAGGAGGAGGAGGAAGTCTCTTACAAAAGGGAGCAGATCATAGTGGAGGTAAACCTTAATAATCAAACGTTAAATGTATCTAAAGGGGAAAAGGGTGTCTCTTCTCAGTCCAAAGAGACTCCTGTTGTTAAGACAAGCAGTGAGGACGAGGAGGAGGAGAGTGAGGACACCACGGACAACAGCACTGAGTATGGGGAGAATGAAGAGCAGAAGGAAAAGGAGAAGACAGTGGAGAAAGCCAGTGTTGCTCAAAGGAGAACGAGGAGAGCCGCCTCTGTGGCTGCAGCTACCCCTTCCCCCACACCCCGCACGACGAGGGGCCGGAGGAAGAGTGTGGAACCGCCCAAGCGTAAGAAGAGGGCCACGAAGGAGCCCAAAGCACCAGTCCAGAAAGCAAAGTGTGAAGAGAAAGAGACTCTAACTTGCGAGAAGTGCCCCAGGGTGTTTAATACCCGCTGGTACCTGGAGAAGCACATGAACGTTACTCATAGGCGCATGCAGATTTGTGATAAATGTGGCAAGAAGTTTGTTCTGGAAAGTGAGCTGTCCCTTCACCAGCAAACAGACTGTGAAAAAAATATTCAGGTAGGTTTCTTCGCTGAGAGGGCAAACTTTCCAGGATAGAACCTGGCTGTCAGACTCGTCGGGTATATCTGCCCAAGAGTACATTAAGAGGCTGAAGGGACAGATTCCACCTGTTCGGTTTGATTTTTTCAAAAGCTCCTGCTTTGGTCTTTTTCGAAACCGAGTCATAATATTTTATTTCAAAAGCATTGATTTAACTGACGCTGGACCTAGTGAGAACCAAGGTGCATTGGAAGGGGGATGTCACAGGTGATTGACCAAGCGGTAAAAGCAACACCAACTTTGCACTGAGATGCACTGTTTTAGGACTCTCATAAGATGCGTGATGTGATTCATTCTGGCACCTTTTGTGTCAAGGTGGGGGATATTGAATAAGGGTCAGGAGTAGAGAAAGGTCCCTTCCTAGGTTTAAAAGGATGCCAGATTCTAGTGCATCTGGTGGGAACAAAAACCATAATGACTCAGATCGGTGGAAATGGAAGATCTCTTGGAGTGAGTTTGCTGTTACCAATGGAGAGATGGGAACACTAAATTTGTCAAGATGCTGAGCCAGCCCATGGGAATGTTCAAACTTCAGGGCTAAGCTGGTTGAAAGTGTGACCCACTTGGCAGTAAGGTTGCGTGTAACACTCCAGTACACAATACATTAAGGTAACAAGACGTGTGATAGTCAAACCAGGCTGGTATCTTGACGATATTACCATAGGTTAAGAAGTGTGCTAACTATATTATATTGAATGGATTGCAACGATATTGTCTTTGTACATGTGATTGGATATTAATGAATATTCATAAGGTATAAGTCTTATTAATGTTTCCCTGAGCTATATAAAATAGAAATATTTTGTTCTGTTCCAACCTGAACTCCTTTTAAAAGATGAGAATATTTGGTCTGTAATGTTTTGGCATGCTCCTAATCTAATATTTATAAGTTTGACTTTCCTCTGTTGGCTTTTTAAATCAATAACTGAGATCATTGCTTTACTTTAGAGAGATTTTAAAAAACATATACAAATTGCATTTGCTAAAAATTCACTGCTTTTTAGTTCATCATTTGCAACTTGATCTCTGACACATTAGGTAAGTAAAAAGAAGACTGAGTCACTGGACTCTAGCGCCCTGGAACAACCAGGGAGGGCCCTGGCTTGCTGGGTTAGCCCCAAGGGAGGGTGGTGAAGTGCTGCACCCTAGGGGTCAGATGTAGGTTGTGTAACGATTCCTTAGTGCACTCTAGTTAGAACTTTTTTTTTAAACTTAAATTTGCTTTATTAAATTACAAAAAAGTGGGCATTTAATCCTTTTTCGTGACTTTCAAAGCTGTTCCTCACCATAATACATTTAAGCTTGTGTTTAGAGTTATTCTGAGAAATGAACTGTTTGTATTATTCAAGAGTATTTTGCCCTATTCCTACCTCAAACCCAAACCAACTCAACTGCCATCAAGTCAATGCCAACTCATAGCAGCCCTATAGAACAGAGCAGAAGTGCCCTGTACATGCTTCCTAGCCTCGAGATCCTAATCATCGTGGTGGCCTGGTAACACGTCAAAATAAAAACTCTGCCAGACCAAGGGGTTTAGAGCAGTGGTCTTGCCTTTTCTAGAGCAATCTCCATCCCAAGGTTTATCTCGCTAATTCTCCCCAGGGTTTCATTCCTAAAGTGGCAGTGGTGTTCAGGGATCTTCATTTACAGGGAATGCTAACTTGTGCCCTTAAGTATCTCAGGGTCCAGTGACTACCAAAAACTTCCTGGTATTGTTTTGCTTTAAACAGAAGTATTTTGTCTTGATATGCTTTCTACTGGTACTCCAGGGTATTCATGAAAACAAGGACCAGGCAGTGTTGCATGCGTTTCCTAGGGATGCTTGTAAGAGAGATCTGGAACTGGGCTGTAAGGGAAAGGGAGAGTGGAAACAGCAGTCTGGGCAAGGTTGCATCAAATTCTGCCAGAAAGGTATTTAAGAGCGTAAATTCAATTTGGAAAATAAAGTAAAGTCTCAATGACGTATGCTAATGAAGGCTCTAAAAGCATTCTCTAAGTTTACAAAAACACTTTTATACCCCTATAAGTCTATTACCATTCAAGGCTGTTTTTATTAAATTTTGCTTTTAGTTATGCTAATTAAAATTAGTTTGCATTCCCTGGTAAACCCCTACTTACTGCATCTGGGCCTGTGTGTAGGAAGAAGCCACTTTCCCCCCCCACGGATCTTAAAAAGTGAAAGTTTTCCTAATCAGTACAATACTGACTTGATAATAGCAGTCCAACCTTTGATATTAGTGGGGCTGGCCATTTCTTCTTTAGTTTCTGCCACTGTTTTCATACTCTCAGAGTATCTCTAGGAGCTGCAGCTAGGAAACTAGAACTCGTTGGTGTAGGCCTTAGAATTTGGACTCTGGAGGAATAGCTTATGTCTGAGTTCTGGCTTTGTGCTAGGAAGCAAAAGCATGCTCATTCCATCTGCCAGTAGGCAGGTAAGGCTTTCTTCAAGCCCCATATGAATAAGGATTATTTCTATTTATCCTGCTCAGTGTGTCTCCTGTAACAAATCGTTCAAGAAACTCTGGTCCCTTCATGAACATATCAAGATCGTCCATGGCTATGCAGAGAAGAAATTCTCCTGTGAAATTTGTGAGAAGAAATTCTATACCATGGCTCATGTGCGGAAACATATGGTTGGTAAGTGCTTTCTGCTGGTTTTCTCTCACCTGTGTAATTTTCTCTTGTTCTTTGGTGCACGTTTGATGGTCTGGATAGGGCAGGTAGGAGAAACTGCCTTCTATTCATCAGTTTTGACTTGTTGAAACTAAATGCAACATGTCTTCAGTCAGCATCACCAAATTGGATGATAAAATTTTCCACACCCAGGTTTCTTGTCAGCGTTGCTGTTTCTTTTTCTCTACAGAACATGACTATTAAAGCTTGTCAAATTAGAGTGTAGAGAACTAAGGTGGCAGAGTTGTTTTACAGTCGGGCATAGGCTGTGTGTGGACTTATGCTAAGTGCATTCTGTGTTGCAGCACACACAAAAGACATGCCATTTACATGCGAAACCTGTGGAAAATCGTTTAAACGCAGCATGTCACTCAAGGTGCACTCCTTGCAGCATTCTGGAGAGAAGCCCTTCAGATGCGAGGTAAGGAATGTATGTGCCTTGGGGCTAGTTTTTGTAAAGATGGTGAGCCAATGAGAGAGAGGTGTTCTGTGGAACATGGTACAAGATTGCATGTCCACAGAGCCTTCAGACAGAGGGCCTCCAAGCTTTGTGTGGTACTTCAATTCTAACGGTAGAGAGCTGCCATTTTTAATGCTTTCAGTTCTCTGAGATAGGTTGCATTTGGAAATGTAAGTTCTATTTCTTTCCTCAAGGACCCAGAGAAGTTTAGTGTACTTCAGTGATACTTAGATAAGAAAACTTTCCCCTTATTAATAAAGAGCTCAGTCGCATAGGCTTTGCATGGTCAGATGGATGACAGGGACAGGGTTCTGTTTTGACTGTGGAAAACAAACCATATCTCAGGGACTATGTTAGGGTGGGCTCAAGTAAAGCTGCACTACTTGGCATTCAAACATCTCCCCTGTGTCCAATGCAGAACTGTGACGAGAGGTTTCAGTACAAGTACCAGCTCCGTTCCCACATGAGCATCCACATTGGGCACAAACAGTTCATGTGCCAGTGGTGTGGCAAGGATTTCAACATGAAGCAGTACTTCGACGAACACATGAAAACACACACTGGTAAGAAGTCTGGGGTCAGGGGGGAAAGTACCTGTGTCTCAGGCCCTTGGTGATGACAATCTGTGGGTCTGTTGATTTTAAACTCTAAACCACAATATTTACATTTTAAGTGAAGACCCCTTTTAAGTGAACGAGATAGATAAAAATGCAGATAAATACTAGCTTTCATTACTTTTTATTTCTAAAAGGGATTCATTTTGTGAGCCTTTATATCAGGTGTCCTCAAACTAGGGCCCGCGGGCCACATGCGGCCCACCAAGGACATTTATCCGGCCCGCCAGGTGTTTTTGCTCTGTTTGTTGTTTTTTTACTTCAAAATAAGATATGTGCAGTGTGCATAGGAATTTGTTCATAGTTTTTCTTTTAACTATAATCTGGCCCTCCAACGGGCCTGAGGGACAGTGAACTGGCTCCCTGTTTAAAAAGTTTGAAAACCCCTGCTCTATATAATGACTACTTCTTTACTGTGGGCTAAGGAACTCTTGTGTGTGCCTGTGTTATATTTCTAAGGAAAGGACCTCTCAGAAGGACCTGATTTTAAAAAGATAAGAGGACTAACTGCCTGTAAATGGAATTCTTAACATTTGACTGTTTTCAAAATTCCTACTTTTCAAGAAAGCTAAATATTTTAATCCCTTGGGTTTTCAGAGATGTGAACTCTCTAACATGGATTTGAATCTTAATCATCTGATTATCCTGCCTTCAAGGAAGTGGCTAACATAATAGCTCCCCTATAAATTCTATCATCGTTTCCCAGTCTTAACTTGACATTTGGGGATTAGTTGTTTGTACAAATTGAACAGCATGAAAGTATGCTTTAGATTCTGAAAACGCCTCATCCTGGGATGCCAGGCTCCATCAGTTTGCAGAGGAGCAGAGTGGAAGCACCACGAGAGACCCTTGCTGAGCCTGGTGGTGCGCTTTGTGCTTTGGGGAGGTGAGGGCACTGTGCCTATGGCTGGGTCTGCCACTTCCCCTCCCAGAGGGCTTTCTTCACATTCAGTCCAGAGTCCTCTCAGGGTTTTAAGGATTGGGTTAGGTGAGGAGCCCTGAGAGGAGCTTGATTAGTTAAAGTAAATCTCAAAAGGTGGTGATAATTTTGAAGCCCTGGCCTATGTGGATATAGCAGAATACATCAGGATATAGTTAACAAATCCTCCTCTTATAATTTGATGGTTCTTGGATGGGCTCTTAGTTCGAACTGAGTCACTTAGCTTTCAAGTTTATTATTGTTATTTGGCAGGAAACTGTAGGACTAGACAAGACATTGGTTTTGTAAGGCAGAAATTGTGTCAGATTCACAGTGCTTGGTACTAGTGGGTGAATGGTAAATGTTTGTCACTTGCCTTCTTTGCTCTTTGGTGATGTTTGAAAGGTCACTGTATCTGAAGGGTGGAGAAGAGACTGGAGGCTGTGGAGTTAAGAATGAAAACTAAACCAGTTGTCATTTGAGTTAGCTCCAACTCCTGGTTGCCCCACGTGTGCCGGTATAGAACTGTGCGCCATAGGAGTTTCAATGGCTGGTTTCCTGGGAGTAGTAGCTCACCAGGCCTTTCTTCTGAAGCCCCTCTGGATGGACTCAAATCTTCAACATTTCAGTTAGCAGTTTCAGTTAGTATGTCAATCAGTTGCACCAGCCAGGGACACTTAAACAAGAATAGAGATGGGTGAGATCCATTGGGTGCAGACTGTAGCAATCCAGATGATCGTGAGTAGACAGGGATGAAACTAAAAAGCTGCGTGAGGTAGAGTCAGATGAACTTGGTGATAGATTGGATATGAGTGATCCAGAAGGAAAGAGCCAACGGTTAGTCTTAGACATGGGGCTTGGATACTATTTGTCAAGATAGAGAATAGTGGAGGGAGAAGCCTATTTGCTAGGTAGGATGATGAGTCTAATTTTAATTTTGTCTTGTTGGTTTTTGGGTATCTATGGGCCATTCAAGTGGAGGTGTCCAGTAGGTGGCTGCAGATTAGTGTGAAGCTTGAGATGCTTGGGCTAGCTAGATGGATAAGGGGTTTCTGAAGCCACGCAAGAATACTCATAGAAAGCAGATCGGAATGCTTTAGGTTGATGGCTATGTCACGCTTTCCTTTGATCCATGCAAGAGACAACCAGCAAAATTCTTTTTTTTTTCTTTATCGTTTTATTAGGGGCTCATACAACTCTTAGCACAATCCATACATACATCAATTGTGTAAAGCATATTTGTGCATTCATTGCCCTCATCATTCTCAAAACATTTGCTCTCCACTTAAGTCCCTAGCATCAGCTCCTCATTTTTCCCCCTCCCTCCTCGTTCCCCACTCCCTCATGAACCCTTGATAATTTATAAATTATTATTTTAACATATCTTGCCCTGTCCGACGTCTCCCTTCACCCACTTTTCTGTTATCCATCCCCCAGGGAGGAGGTCACACGTAGATCCTTGTAATTGGTTTCCCCTTTCCAACCCACCCTCCCTCTTTGCTCCCAGTATCACCACTCACACCATTGGTCCTGAAGGGATCATCCACCCTGGATTCCCTGTGTTTCCAGTTCCTATCTGTACCAGTGTACATCCTCTGGTCCAGCCAGACTTGGAATTAGAATTTGG